GACGACAGAACTGGGTCGGGGTCAGTGTGTCAGGTCAGTATGCAACCTTCAACCGACGGTTACGGTCACGCGTGTAGAGGTAAACGAACCCGTATAATCGATTGCGTTTCAAAAAAAAATAATAATAATGGCACACTCATACACAACATTTTCGGTGAATGTTTGGGCTGGCATGGTGAACGGTATGCTCATTGGACCATTTATTCTCCCAAATCGATTGGACGGGATGCAATACCTAGACTTTTTACGCAACATTTTGCCTTCCTTGTTAGAAGATGTGCCATTAAGTGTAAGACAATGTGGTTTCTGCACGATGGTGCACCGCCCCATTTTAGACGCGAAGTGCGTGGGTTTTTGAATGAATTATTTCCGAATAGGTGGATCGGACGTAATGGACCCGTAGCGTGGCCTCCGCGATCTCCAGACTTAACACCATGTGATTTTTTTCTTTGGGGAAAAATGAAACGCTTAGTGTACAAAACTGAAGTGCATACGGTTGACGAACTTCGTCTCAGAATTGAACAAGCTGGTGCTTTCATTCCGGGGAGGGACTCCATTCTCAAAGCCTGCACCGATGCTTGGCTACGTCGTGTACGCACCTATGTTTTTGAATCAAACGGCGATATCTTCGAACAATACCTATAAAGTACGTTTACCTAAAAACTGAAAACGCGGCAACGCCGTCATATTTGTTACCTCTGTTCGTGGTCTGCACCACCGCCAGCGTCTGCTCGGTAGCGCATCAGCTGATTTCATTTTCTGTTGGAGCGGTATGATTTCGGGCAGAGACGTACTTAGCCCTTCTCGTCAACTGGAGAGTGAGTACTTTTTCCTTTATTTTTTTTTTACTTGGTCGTCCTCGTTTCACTACACATTACCTTTGTTATTTCAAGGGTAGTTGTTTCTGTAAAGGACAACCCCAACTTTGCGGACACCCTGTATGACTGACGGTGAAATTTATTTATCAGGTAACCAAATAAGTTCGTGCGGTTGCTGTACATCGCACATTGCCATGGATGTTGTTGATCGATACCGATGGTTTGTTACCTGTTGTCACTTTGGTATGAACCCTTCTTTTCTCACACACATAAAAAGTTGCTGAAAATTGTTACATACCTAGTTTTAATAATTGAAAATGGCGACGAGTAAAACAGTAATTCGAAGTTGTTTAATGTATTAGTACAAACTAACAAAAATATGTACCGCATTCGGAGATGATGCCGTTAGTGACCGAACAGTACAGAAGTGGTTAACACGTTCGCTGGGTTACGGGGCTAATATGACTCGTATCGCACTATCACCTGGTGCAGCGGGCATTTTGCGAAGCTTGTCAAATTTTTATTTTTCAAGATAAAAAAAAGATTTTTATAGCTATAGAATTGCAATTCAAGTACTATTTTTCTTCGACAAAACTTTTTTAATAGCCATGGGAACTGTGAACGCTCCAATAATGAATTTGTATTGGTCCAAAGATTCCTTATATCATAATAAATTTATATCATCTTGTATGACAAGCGACCGATTTTTAATTATTTTAAGATGCTCGCATTTCATGAATAACATAGATGATACTGGCGAAGACAGACTGTTCAAAATTCGCCATTAGATTGACAGCTTGACAAAGGCATTCAAAGAAGCAGTTATTGTTCCAAAAATGTAGTTATAGACGAGTCTATGATAACATGGGTCGCCTAAGAATGAAACAATATATAAAAAATAAATCCCACAAATATGGTGTGAAACTTTGCAATATTGATGGTTATGTGATTAATTTCAAAACTTATTCGGGTAAAGAAGACACGGAACGGATCGTACCGTCAGCCACGCAGAGTTTATAGTCGATCCATTACTTAGTGACCACTATGAATACGGCTGCATTTTATATTGCGATAATTTTTATACTTCTTATGAATTGGCAAAATATTTGGAGACCAAAAAAACAAGAATTTCTGGTACCTTGAGAAAGAATCGCAAAACTGTTCCTAAGAATATTATTTCTCAAAAGCTTAAAAGAGATCAAATAGCTGGAAAAGAGTCAGAAGGCATAAAAATTATGAAGTCACGATTCATCATATGTTAATACAGGAAAAATAAGAAAAGGACAGACTGTAAAAGACCACAGTGTGTAATCGATTACAATAACGCATAAAAGGTGTCGATTACAGTGACCAGATGGCATGTTACCAGAGCCCCATCCGAAAGAGTTTAAAACGGTGCAAAAAAATTGCAGTTGAATGAACTTTTAATTCAGCAATCGTCAATGCTTGGGTTATGTTTAATCATCAACATCCAATTCTCCAATTTAGAGAAAAACTAGCGAAATATTTCTATCAGTGTGGCAGAGAAGAATTGCAACCAGAACGGCCAAGAACTCCTAAAAGATACCATACCCTTACTATAGGTGAAACCGGAAACAAAAAGAGGAGAAAATGTGTAGGATGCTACAAATTACTAAGAAGAACAATGAATAGTCGCGAAGGTGCCAAAAAGGTAAAAAAGGTCTACACTCACTGCGAGGAGTGCGTGGGGAAGCCGGCCTATTGCTTAGTTTGTTTTAATGAAGCCCATTAGTCGTTTTGTATTGCGAAATCAATATTTTACTTTCCTTTTATATAAATGACACCATATTTTAGCTTAGAATTTGACTGTTTTTATATTTTTGACTGTTTTAATTCAATATTAAAGAAAATATTTTTAATATTATTGCAAAAATACATATTTTACTTTTTTCTATCGTAAAAATACTGTTATTTGACTTTAGATTTTCCTGGCTCTGTTTTAGATTAAAGGAACTTTTATAATTATTACTGTGTGGTTATTTCTTTAAATAAGATTTTATTTTACCAAAAAAAAAAAACATTATTGTCTACTACGAGGTATATTCCACCCGTAACGGATGTCGGGCCAACTCAGTACGAGTCAAGAAGTGGTTCAAGAGCTGTCATTACATCCAGCGAAAACAACGGTTTGATGTGGTTTATAGGTCGGTGGAATCATCGGTCCCTTTTTTTTTAAAAAAATGAGGCCGGTCAGAACGTAACTGCGAATGGTGCTCGTTACCGCGCAATGATAACGGATTATTTGCTGCCTGAAATTGAAGCCCGTAATCTCGATGACATTTGGTTCCAAAGAGCCCGAGCAACCATGGCTTTATTGCGGGAAAATTTCGATGAACACTTAATTTCACGATTTGGACCAGTGAATGGCCACCTAGATCATTTGATATCACAGCTCTAGACTTTTTCCTTTGGGGCTACGTTAAGTCCAAAGTCTACATTGATAAGCCCAATACGATTGAGGAATTAGAAGCCAACATTACGCAGGTCATTCGCCAAATTCCAGTCGAAATGCTCCCACGTGTCATCGAAAATTGGAACTTTAGAATGGACCATCTCAACCGCAGTCAGGGACAACATTTGAAAGAAATAATATTTAAAAAATAAATGTCAAAATAAGTTCATTTCTTTGACAAGAAAAAAGAATTTTGTGATTTTATTTTGTTGCTGAAAAAAGTACCTATAAATCAATCACCCATTATATGAACTGATGGAGTCGCAGGCAATAGTGTCACTACGTGATCGCGAAGAAAAATTCGACAATAGGGTATCCCAAAAAAAAATTCTTTTTTCAAACGCATATCCGCTATTTTTTGCCATTTGACGCTAACAAGTCAAAAAATATAAATACAGGGTGTTTGGTGTATATATATATTACTGAAACCATATATGCATTTATATACTTAACTCTTATTCGACAAATAAAGCACTGCTTTTAAATTTTGTATTACGTTGCATACAAGAACGCAGGCAGGTATATCCTGACTGTAAAAAGAAAAATTTAAGAAGAAAAATTAATAAATAATAATAATTTAATGATAAGTATCTAAGTAATATAAGATACAAATGGAGGTTATCGGGTTATGGTTCCCCGATCGCAATAATATTTATTCATTGTTCAAATTCAAATTCATTTTAACTAATAAGTTCCGAACACCATACTGACTTCGAAGTTGAGTCATTTATTTTAACAGTGAGTAGATCTGATCAAAAGAAATGTTTTTTTCCTTTAACATTTTTCTGGTAAAATTAAAGTAACAAAGTTATAGCCCTTTAGAAGTTTGAGTACCGCCCTGTCTCAATAATAATATTATGTGCTCGTGTTTGGCGACAACGGATATAATCCACCTTATCGGTTCATCGCATCGGAAACAAAAAAGCGAAAGAATTTGAAACGCTTCTCACGATGTTTTATTCAGTTGTATTCAGTCAATGTGTCAGTCGGTAACGCGTGAGTGAATAGTGGTGTTTGTTGCGTGGCTCAAACGAAATAAAAAATGGCACACGTTTACGAAAATGCTGAACTTGTGGACACGATTCTTATTTACGGGGGGGGAGTCTTTACAAAATGCTGCCGCGGCATCACGGATTTATGCGGATCGGTTTCCCAATCGAGTGCAACCAACCCCTCGTGCCTTTGTTCATGTAGTACAAAGGGCTCGTGAATCAGGTGACTTAAGACCTCACAGGGGAGGGCATGCCGGTGCTCCAAAACCGCAGGATCAAATACAGGTCCGCACTGAAATACTTGTCGGGAGGATACTTTATAAAACAAGGTAACTTTTTTTTTATTTTTACACACATATTTTGGTTTATCTTCCTTCATCATTATCTGAAAATTAATGACTCAACTTCAAAGTCACCCTGTATATAAGTATAGAGAGAAACACGACGTGTTGTTAGAGTCAAATGAACAAAAAATATAGGATATGCGTATCTCAAATCGAACAAAAATTGCTTTGCCCCCACAGACTGGGACACGCTGACGTCCAACAACAAAGCCGGAAGACCTCACCTGCCTGACCGTAGCAATAAATAACGCACCCTAGCCCCGCCCTACGACCCGCCCCTGTCTCCGCCAGTGTGGTCCCACCGACCCCCACCACTCGACTGCATCGCGATGCACACCCCCACCAGCCGATGCACCGCGTTGCATCAGAATGCAATCGCCCTCTCGGTCTCAGTCTACGCGCGCAATCCTCCGTTGACACTTCGGTGACCGCGTGCCGCGCTTGGACTCGAACACCTGTTGCGCGCTGGATTGACAGGACTGAAGTGACAGTGACATTTTGGGCGGGAGGTAGGCGCTTTTTGGATTAGGTAGCGGCCAGAGGTCAGGTTGGAGTTGGTTTTTTGTGTGACAAGGTAATGGAAAATTAGTTTTTTCGGTCGGTTTTGACCATGAAGTCGTGTGATAAATATACTTCCTGCTTTGTCGAAGATATTTGAAAGAGTGCTGTACGAACAAATTTATGACTTTTGTAACAATATTATTCCTGGTACTCAGTGTGGTTTTCGTGAAAATTTTGGTGCATCAGTGGCTCTAACAAACGTACTCGCTGAGCAAATGATAAAAAGATGAGTTCAGTTTTGTTACTTCTAGACTTTTCAAAAGCTTTTGATACCGTTGATCATGAATTGTTGGTAGCTAAACTTCAGTGCTATGGCTTTTGATAAGGAAGCATGTTTGCTTTTAAAATCATATTTGACAGGAAGGTATCAATCGATTCTATCAAATGACACATTCTCAGACAAAGCGGAGATCCTATCGGGAGTTCCTCAGGGATCAATATTGAGCCCCTTGTTATTTTTAATTTATACATCTGATATCCTTACGTCTTTAAAGTTTTGTAAAGTTCAAGCCTTCGCGGATGACACGCAGGTTTATTGTTTTTTTGATATTGAGGATTACAAATATTACGAAAATTGTAAAAATGAGGACATTAACACCTTGAACAATATCTCATTAGGTCACAAATTAAAACTTAATCCGGAAAAATCGCATGTAATGATTTTTGGTAACAAATCTAAGTCTGAGTTTTTGAAAAAAAAAACAATGCTGTTAAACCATTTAATTCAATTCCCAACCAGTTCCTTAATCTTTCTCTTTCAAGTTTCAAAATACAATATAAGAAATATTTGCTGAATACAAATCTGAACAAACTTTTTTATAATAGAGATTCAAGTTTATAATATAGGTATATAAGTAGAAAAAATATGTCAAGCAAATTTTATAGTAACCAGTAACCAAATTTTATAGTGACCAGTATTAATTAATATATTTTTTAAATTTTAATTTACTTTCAGTCCATTTAGTGTTAACACGTGATTATTATTATGATTATTCTGTATTGTTGTTTAAAACTTATTACTATTATTATTATTTTTTGTCTTATTTTGGTTAGACTTGCGCAAATATTAGACAATGTATTTTTTTTCTAAATAAATAAGAAGATTATTTGTTTTATTCAATAAAGTCATTTATTATTATTATTATTATAAGGTGGTTGTATCGCAATACTGGACGTCTTAGGGTCACATAGACGTTCCTTCCTAGCATCCAGTGCCGTCCAAAGGATAATTTTGCCTTGGATTATAAACATTCAAGGGAGGATTTAATATTTGAAGGCACAAGTGGATCAAGGTGTCATGTAACCAGTGGCGTAGCTAGAAGTCCTGGGGCCCCGGGGCAAACATTTTTTGGGGACCTTCATGAGTAGATATGTTTAAGAATAAAAAATATCATGTTATAATAAAAAAATTGTTTATTGTCATAAAAACAAAAAATGACAAATTAAAATAATGAAATAACAAAAGTCAAAAATTAAACATCCCCTTTTCTTGCTTTTCTATTTGCAAATTCGTTGATAATATCATTTATATCAAGGTTTTGGGCTTCTTCATTCTCTATAGAGAGCAAAGCGAGATCGCTTAATCTAATCTGGCCTGTAGTAGACCTAAGATAGTTTTTTATAAGCTTTAGCTTTTTAAATGATCTTTCAACAGTTGCAGTAGTATACCTAGGTTATATTAGCACTTAATCAATTTATTGGTGATCGGCGCTTAAAAAAATTTTTTTTTAGGCGCATGGGGCCGGGGCACTGCCCCGGTTTGCCCTAGAATAGCTACGCCCCTGCATGTAACAAAATCATTGTATGGAGAAAATTGACATTAAATATATTTTATTGGGACTTTTTTGTTGACATGTTGAATATTTAGTTTAATTAGTTTGTTATTATCCTGTTTAATGCAAAAAGCAACTTAAAACAAATGTTACATGACACCTTTATCCATTTGTGTTTTCATTTGTATTTCACACATTTTCAGAAATTTTGAAATATTTAAAATTATCAGAATTTTTAATTTTGAAAATTTTCAATTTTTGAGGATTTTAAAAATCTTGACAGCCTGAAAATTTGGATAATTTGAAAATTTTCAAAATTCTGAAAAATTACAATGAAAAACCATATTTTTGGTCAACAAACAAATGCAATAATGCAAAAGCAAAATCACCAGATATTTCAAAATCTATAGCGAAACATGAAAGCAATGTCGCAACCAAGCTCAAGACTTAGCAATACGCACAAATGTGCACAAAGGCTGAAAGCATATATGAAAAATCTCAAGAAGGAATTGACAATTACTTCAAATCAAATTGAAAATTGAACTGTTTCAAGAGTTTATCAATACGCACAGATTTGCAACTAGGTGGAAAGCATATATGACAAGAAGAAAATAAAATGCATATGAAGAAAACACTTTCAATTAAAGAAACTGTGGATAGTACAAGATCCTCAAAGGCATACATCGCAACGAATCTATGTAACTATCCAGACTACAAAATACTGTCAAAGTTCAAAACCACTCAAAGATATGTGAACAAACATCAAAAGTTTGAACCAAAAATCAATGTAAGTCTGTGCTCTCGAAGAAAGTTATAATGAATTCAAAAAGAGGATACTATCAAAAACTTCAAAAGTAATAGACTTCAAAAATAGAGGTACGTAAGTATGTAAAAGAAATTCAGAAAATATACGCATAAAAACATTATAAAATATTATACACAGTATTTGTCATATGATTTTGATCGGGAATGCAATTTAAATTTTGAGTACGCTCAGAAAAATGAGATATTCAAAAGATGAAGTATACACATTAAATTGGAATCAGAAAAATAATTATGACTTGTAAATTTTGTAAATGGTGGACTGACGTAATAGTTCAAGAGGTTGGAAGAACAACGATGACAAATGTCCAAAGTCAACATTCAACTGCCTTTTACAGAAAATTGGCTTAACAATTATCAAAGGATATTCTTCTCCGTTCGCATCTGTACTAGGAAATAAATATAGGAAAACCTACTCGCTCCAATGTACAGATCGAAAAACTCGCCCCCTTCGATTGAGCGTCATTTCGTGTTTTTAAATGTTCCACCATGTTCAGAAATTTTAGGATTTACAAAATCATCAACATTTTTAATTTTGAGGATTTTGAAAATCTGACAGCTTTGAAAACTTGGATCAGTTGTATCTCAAAAATTCTTGAGGATTTGAATTTCACGGTAGATGTCACAGTTGCCAATACGGGTGTTCGAAATCTTCACTTTTTTATAATTTTCCACTATTTTCAGAAGTTTTAAATTTTCAAAATTATCAGAATTTTCAATTTTGAGGATTTTGAAAATCTTTCAGCTTTGAAAACTTGGATAACCTGGGCAATTCCGAAAATTCTTGAAGATTTAAATTTCACGGCAGATGTAACGGTTTGTTGCCAATACGGGTGTTCGAAATCTTCAGTTTTTTTAATTTTCCACTATTTTCAGAAGTTTTAAATTTTACATACCTAATTATCTGAAATTTCAATGTTGAAACTTCGAAAATTTTGAGGGTCTTGAAAATCTTGACAGCTTTGAAAACTTGAGTATTTTGGAGAATTTCGAATATTTTTTGGAAATTTTGAAAAATGGTGATGAAACATTCATGTTTTTGGTCGGCTGCTACGTCATTATGTGTGTTCAAAATCTTAATTTTTTTGAATTTTCCACCAGTTTCAGAAGTTTTAGGATTTACAAAATCATCAAAATTTTTTATTTTGAGTATTTTGAAAATTTGACAGCTTTGAAAACTTGGGTCATTTGGACAATCTCAAAAATTCTTGATTATTTGAATTTCATAGTGGATGTAACAGTTGTCAACATAGGTGTACGAAATCGTCAGTTTTTTTAATTCTCCACTATTTTCAGAAGTTTTAAATTCCACATACCTAATTATCTGAAATTTCGATGTTGAAAATTCTAAAATTTTGAGTGTCTTGAAAATCTTGCCAGCTCTGAAAACTTGATTATTTTGGAGAATTTCGAATATTTTTTGGAAATTTTGAAAAATGGTGATGAAACATTCATGTTTTTGGTCGGCTGCTATGTCATGTTTGTTCAAAATCTTATTTTTTTGAGTTTTCCACTATTTTCAGAAGTTTTAGAATTTTTAAAATTATCAGAATTTTCAATTTTGAGGTTTTTGAAAATATTACAGCTTTGAAAACTTGGATAACCTGGGTAATTTCGAAAATTCTTGAAGATTTAAATTTCACGGGAGATGTAATAGTTTGTTGCCAATACGGGTGTTCGAAATCTTCAGTTTTTTCAATTCCTCACTATTTTCAGAAGTTTTAAATTTTACATACATAATTATCTGAAATTACGATGTTGAAAATTCTAAAATTTTGAGGATCTTGAAAATATTGACAGCTTTGAAAACTTGATTATTTTGGAGAATTTCGAATATTTTTTGGAAATTTTGAAAAATGGTGATGAAACATGTTTTTGGTCGTCTGCTACGTCAAAATCTTCATTTTTTTGAATTGTCCATCATTTTCAGAGGTTTTAGAATTTAAAAAATTATCAGAATTTTTAATTTTGAGGATTCTGAAAATCTAACAGCTTTGAAAACTTATCCAACTTGGATACTTTGGAGAATTATGAATATTTTGGAAATTTTGAGAACGCAATGAATAATTCATTTTCTTTTGGCTAGTTTCGACCACATGGATGTTAGGGGTTGTATCACAAAGTCGTAGTTATAGTTGAAATGTGCAAGGATATACTTAGGGTCAATATTTACAGACGTTCCTTAAGGACTCAGTGCCCAGTGCTGACAGATAATTTTTCCTTGGGTTTCAAACAATAAGGAATATTCAAGGGAGGATTTAAGATTTGCATTTCACGGTGGATGTAACAGTTGTTATTACGGATGTTTGATTTCTCCACCTTTTTCAGAGGTTTTAAAATATTAAAAATTATAAGAAAATTCAATTTTGAAAATTTAGTAGGAAGCCTATTGATTTTTATTCGTTGTACTAAAATTAGTAAGTTGTATGTGAAAAGCTGGTCAACCCTCAACCATCTAAGCTGATTGATCTTCTTAGACACATGGCTAAACTTTCGCAGACCACAAACGAACCTACAGCAGCTATTTTGAATTTTTTGTACTCGATATCTAGTCACGTAATCAAGACAAGGAAAGTAAACAGCAATTGAATAATTTATTAACGATAGAACCAGAGTCTCAGCCAGTTTTTTGCGAGTCTTGAAATTCAGAATATGGCGATTGGTGTATAATAACCTCAAACGCATGTATGTTAAGCGAGATAAATGCGTAACATGTTGTTGAAACCTCAAAACTGAATCCATGGTGATCCCTAAATACTTCGCATGATCTACTATAGGAATATGGGTTTCGTTAAGACTAGGAACAATTGTGCCATCTAACCGTTGTACTAACTGTTTTGGGCCAAATAGCATAGTAGAACATTTTGAAGCATTGATCTTCAGGCAATGTATTTTGCAGTACTCTTCAATGTTAACTAGATCCAAGTTCAATTTATATGATGCTTCATGCATGTCCGAAGAATCCAAAGGCAGAGTTAGCTGCGTGTCATCGGCATACGTTTGAATATTACAGTGCTGAAGGCAAGTATGTAGATCAAAGGTATAAACTAAATAGAGTAATGGTCCCAACACAGAGCCTTGAGGTACGCCAGATGCCACACTCTTTGCCGAAAAAAATCCCTCACGTGTTTTCACCTTCTGAGTACGATTGCGCAAATACGAATCGAAGAAACGTAGCGGCTTGTCAGAGAGACCATAAAATTTGAGCTTACTCACCAGTATCTTGCTAAAGTACGGTAATTTACATTGAAGTCAGCTGCCGTTTTTCTTATTGAGGATCCTAATCTCACTAATCTAAACTGTATCCATCGAAGAAACAAAGTAAAATCAAACATATTGCACGTGATCAAGAACTTAACCGTAGGAGACGCTACAGGGCCGTATCAAGCTATTGTGACTGATCTATCAAAAAATGTCGTACAAGATATGTGTTGCTGTAAATTCTATCAACCCAATAATATTTACAAATCAACCTTCTATTCACAATGCAGAGCAAATTTTTTTGAGCAAATAGAAACTACAGACGTAGTAGTAGTAGTACAAAAGTTTATTACAGACTCCATAAAGTTTGTTAGTTTGATTGCTATTAAAATTTACATGAGAAATAGGAAGAAGGTCAAAATGGTACTATTATGCTTTGGAACTCCTAAATTAACCCTAATTTTGTGTAATTATAAATTTGGAATTTCCACATTAATAACTAGAAACTTACACTTTGATTGCAGTCTATAATGAACTTACCTGTCTTGCCAAAATGCCCGTTAAACTGCCAGTCTTAATGGTATCAATCGATTTATATGCTGTATTCCGAGGAGCTTGAATCATCAGAATTGTTGATGTCAATTATAAGGGGTTCAATTTGGGTGTCAATGATATTGTCCATATCCCACATTTTGGTTTCAACCTTCTCTTGGACATGGTCAATACATGTTCTCCATTTTGCTGGCGTAATTCTATCGACAGCAACATCAAACAGTTTTTTAAGGTCAGAAAACTTAAAAGTGCTGTTATTTGACGCCACGTATTGCTTGATGTCGGCCCAAATCAACTCGATAGGATTCAGTTCGCAGTGATAGGGAGGCAGCCTGAGAATCGTTTTATTTTGGTTTTTGGCCATTTCGTCAACAATTTTTAAATCATATTTATACTTATGTCGCTTGACTATATTTATCAGCTCAGCTTTGACCATTGTTTGGTCGAAGTCGATCTTCTTTGAGACAAGCCACTGTTGAATGTCTGCCTTTTTGGTGGCCATTGTTGGAATTTTTTCCAATTTTCTGGAGTGGTACGGGGCATTATCCATCACAATAATTGCGTTATCATCAAGTGTCGGCAAAATTGAACCAATTTTCAAATGAGTTACCATCCATTTCTTCGTGATAGTCTCCAGTTTTTTTGGATTCAAATGCCCACAATGCTTCAGGAACAAATCCATCTACGCTACCTATGTGGCAAATGATCAGGCGTTTTCCCTTGCCTGAAAGTAATTAGTTATTTTACTTCTCAGCGAGCGCACTAAATGACGAAATTAAGCAACTTACTCTTTTTAGGTTAGTGTAGGATAGGGTCTTAGATTAGTTTTTGGGTGAAGGAAATACTCAGAAACTTGGATGAGATAGCAAAACTGAGTTCGGAGCTTCCAAATCATTGATTCGATCAGAAAATGAATTATCTGCATCCAAAAAAGTTCATATACTTCGAAACATACCTACAGGATTTTTCAATCCCGTCGAAAGGCCATCTAAAAAAGCCTGCCTTGAGGACCTCACAGATCTGTCTACCCAAACCTTTCCCTGCGAATGCCCCGCGTTCACCCATGTTTCGTCTAAATAATAAATTTTTCTTCCTTCAGCGCGGAATTGCCTAATTTTTCTAAGGTATTCTCTTCTCCAGATAACAATTTCCTCCTTTTCTATCAATAAACTATTCCTTCCTCTTTTCAAAAATCGAAAGTCTAGTTCTTTCAACAGCTTATGGAACGTAGATCTTTTAAAATTTGGCAGGTCCTCATCATCATTCACTTGCTTCAATATTTTATCTATTGTAGGTATTTCATTCCTGAAGAAAAAGTGATGTACTTTTCTTCTAATGGCACTTTTGTCAAAGTCATCTATTTTTTCGATGATTTTTTTTCTCGCTGGATATGTTTTTGACTCAGATAGTGAGTGATTTTGTCTATATTCCTTCAAGATTTTGTAAACACTTGATCGACCTACTCCAGAAATTTCAGCAACCTTACATACGATATTTTCTATAGCCAATCCACTATTCTCTTGCATCTGGTTCTTGTAGATATTTAGAATAATTTGTTTTTCACCTGCGCTAAGATGAAGCTTTTTAGCCCTTTTGCTGGGTGGCGTTAAGCTGATTTCAACCACTTCATCAGCTGTATCTGTGTCAGACATTTTAGACTAATATTAAATTTCCGCAAGAAAAATCAAGTCAAGACGTGCATAAAACGTTCGCGCTCATAAACGGGTATCCGTAACTGATTACAATCCTGTGCGTGGTGACGAACCATCAACGTGACGCTGAGAGTTCCCTCTACTATGCAGCGTTGCCAGGCTTAATGTCACAATGATCATGTTTTATTGGGAAAATTGTCAGAAATCGCCGAATGTTGAACAGAAACATTACAAGAAGTCTAACCTTGAAATGTGAGGCTACAAATCGATATTCTTATAGGGGGGAAGGGTAGGGAGCTGTTATGGTTCCTATTAACCTTGGTGAAAGTTGGAAACGGTAATATCATATATGGCATACATTCGGTTGAAGGTGTGTGCACGGAAAATAGATTGCGGATAGGATTTTAATAGATAAATCTGCACAAAAAAACACAAAAGGAGATTTTTGTATTTCCCTGAAGAATATCTCAAGGTTATTTCAGATGTGCTCATCGAAATTTTATGGAAGGATTATCGAAACCTTATTATCAATTGCGATAGGGCCACATACCTCGACATCGCATTAATGTGAAAAATAAGACAATAGAAAAAAATTCCCTCACTGATGCTATCTCTTAGGAAAAATTTAACTATAAAGATTGCACAAGAATTTTCTTCACCTTTTTGAGCTTGTTTTCGCATCTCCGTATATGCCGTTCATAATTTGCTGCAGATCAAATTGGAATATACCTTTGTGATGCCATTTATTGTTATATAATGTCCTTTACAACAGTTATTGCACGTATTGCACCAACAGATTGATTTGTGATCCATGCGAATGTGATCAACCACTCTGGCGAAAACTCGCCGAGCGTGGCAACCGTGCGACTTTGTCTGGAGGCTCGTCGCTACAAGCCAATCAGGAAGAGGCCGACAGAGCGCCATGGCTACCGATCACGCGTTGATCACGAATCAACCACTGTTTACGATTACTTTGTAGCTTCGTTAGATACACTTTAGCTGCTCTTAAAAGTACGTCAGGCGGCGCTTTGCCCTTCTCAGTCTTCCTTTTGAAATTTCGAACCATGCTTATGCAACCTGAAAATATTAAAAAAATACATTATATACATATAAATACGCAAAGCTAATCGCCTTGTGTGGGGGCTGGTTGTCCCATGTGACAAGAGGCCCCCGCTAATTCGAGACAACCTGCCCCACTAGATAATTAATTTTTAAGGTTAGATAGCGTCACTAAACTAACAAATTCTAAGTCAATACTTATGTTAAGTCATATTCGGATTATTGAAGAGCAAAATAAATTCAACAGTTCTTTTTATTGACAAATGTAGTCGTGAAAACACAAATTATGTGGCAAACGAAAACTTTACTCAGGTCAGGCGATTTGTTTAGTTTTGTCTGTGCGACCTTAATCTACCAACGACAACTTCCGTACTGAATACAAGTGTTCTGCGCGGACGCAGAAACGATGTGTAGCGCGCCAGGCAACTACATCTTGCGGAGATGCTGAGATTTAACCCTTGTGACAACCAGCCCGTGTCTCCCCTACTTCTTCGCCAGTAACTAAAAACCGGACCAACCTGACCTTTTTCATTACAGGACCCCACATTAGCCGATCTAAGGCCCCACAAGATGTCAGACAACCAGGAGTACGACGGGAAGATGAACGTAGCGAACGCGAGCAGCACGTCCGCGTCCCCCAGGACGCCTCCTAACTGCGCCAGGTGCAGGAACCACCGCAAGAAGATAGCGCTTAAGGGCCACAAGCGGTACTGCATGTATCGCAGCTGCAAGTGCGAAAAATGCCGGCTGACATCAGAGCGACAGAGGGTGATGGCGATGCAGACGGCGCTGAGGCGCGCTCAGGCTCAGGACGAGGCGATGCTCAGAAACGGAGCGATGAATCCCGACGAGTTGCCCATGTTGGCCGTGTCCCAGAAAAGCCCGCCGTTGATCGGGTCGTTGGACAGAAGCTTGGATTGCGATTCGTCCGCTTCGTCGCAGTGTTCGAATCCGCCTGCAGTTCCGAGAAAGATGACGCCGACTATGGCCATACCGTCTACGACTACCGGGAATATTGGACTTATGCGAGAGTGCACGCCCTATTCAGAATCTAAAGGTTGGTGGACTTATTTTTTTAGCTTCGACGATGAACGAACTTCTTTGGCGGACATCGTAAAGGTTCAAGTTGCAATGCAATACTCGAAACCTGGACACATCCGGTACAATATCTAGATTGATAACGCTGGTGAACAAAATTAGAATAATTTCTTGTGACATGGACAAAAAAAGGTGGTTATTATGTAAAAAGCACCCAAAAAGCCGGATTTCTTGCAATAAGGCATTTTATTTGCTGCTTATACTAGTAAAATATAAGAATATGTTTGTAAGAGTACTAATAAACACTCGAATAAACATTTCAGAGTGTTGTTGTCGATGTTTTACGGCGATATTTTGCTCCTTAAGTATCTCTTAACAATGCCCAGCAATAATCAGCAAGCAAATTGTCACACCATTTGCTTTGATACCGTGTTTCACTAAGTCTCGGTATTTTTTATTTTAAATGCAGAAATCCTCTTCCATTTCGATCCATAGCTTTCGCAAAATTTTCCATCAGTCCCAACTTAATATGCAATGGTGGAAGCAAGACGTTTTTGGGATCAACTAGTGGTTCATGAGCAATGTTTTTGAGGCCCGGAGTTTATACCTTCTGTTCATAATTCCAAATTCCAAGTATTGCAACAAATATAGCACAAAACGTCGATGAACTTAATTTATGTACACAAAATTCTGATGCAAAATTTCGAATTTTTAATATGAACATAAGGAGTATAAAACACAACATTGATTACTTAAAAATACTACTCGACCAAATATGGTACAATTTTGATCTAATAGTTTTAACTGAAACGTGGCAAGTGGTTGATATTTCTTGCTTCAATCAGCAGGATATGACACGCTGTATAACTTTGGCACTTATAACCAAAACGATGGAGTGATAGTTTTTGTAAAAAATAAACTGCAATATAATCATGATACATTCACTTTCACCGATGGAATCAAAATTTTAAACATAATGATCCAAATTAACCATAACAAAATTGAGGTATCTGCAATTTATCGTCCGCCATGTTCAGAACCCCACGAGTTTTTAAAGAATATCGAATTTTTTTTCAAAATCAAAATAAAGTTCATTTAAAGCAACATATTTTCTTGGGAGATGTCAATATAAATATTTTGGACGATGATCCCATCACAAATGAATACTTGAATATCCGAATATGAATATAACGGATTTCTGTCCTATATAAACCTAACTTCAAGGTCCATCAGTGGCACATGTATAGATCACTGCTTTGTGAAAGACCTATCCAACAAAATTACTTGTATACCAATAATCCTAGAAAGCGATATTACTGACCACTTCTCCACTATTTTACTGATATCTTCAAATGAAAAACATTCTAACATCCCTACCGTTAGTAACAACCAGGAAAATTACAAATTGTTTGTCGACAATTCAAAACTAATATCAAATGTCAAACAAGAATCCTGGGAACAATTATACTCTATAAATAATATAGACAAAGCAACGGGACTGTTCATAGAGAAAATAAAAAAAATAATAGATATTAGTACCAATAAAGTAATAATTAGTCACAAAGAGAAAAGCAGAAATGCCTGGATTACCAAAGGATTAATAACATCGGTAATAGAAAAAGAAAGACTATATAATGTAATGAAACTAACGCCAACTACAGAGAATACCGACTGCTACAACCAATATGAAAATAAATTTATAGAGCTTGTAAGGCAAACCAAACGAAAACATTACCTAAATAAATTGAATAATAACTTAAATGATCCTAAGCGGCTTTGGACAACTATTGATGAGATTACTGGGAAAACAAAAGTTAAAGAGTGTGTCACTGAGTTAAATACAACATCGGGAACAGTGTTAAAAAATACTCAACAGATATGCGATGAATTTGTACAAGTCTTTACTGACATAGGCGAAAATTTAGCAAGTAATATACAAGCAAATGTACAAAATAGTCAGCCTCCAAAAAGAACTTTGAACTCATTTATTTTGGATAAAGTCGAGCAATGTGAAGTATACACCACTGTTATGTCCTTAAAAAATCGGAAAAGTCCTGGGTTCGATGGTATTAAAAGCGAGCATTTGAAAATTATAGCCGAGGACATAACAGAACCACTCACTTACCTAATCAACAAATGCTTTGAATCTGGCATATATCCCTCAATTTTAGAAAAAGGTAATATAATACCGATACATAAATCAGGAACAAAAACAGATGTTAACAACTATAGACCAATATCAATAATATCCAGTGTAGCAAAGGTTTTTGAAAAAGTTTCATCTACTAGAATGATTCGATACCTCACAAAATTCAAAATTTTAAGTGAAAATCAATATGGATTTACAGAAGGGAAGGCTACATCGGACGCAATAACTAAAATTGTAAATCAAATACATCAAAATATTGATAACAGAATCCCTTCAATCTGCATTTTTGTTGATTTAAAGAAAGCTTTCGACACAGTTAATCACAAATTATTATTAGAAGCATTGGAGAGAATTGGTTTCAGAGGAAACGCGTACTCACTGATCGAAAGTTATTTGTCAAATCGCCCACAATCTGTGCAGATATCAGGATCATTTAGTAAAGAAATGTATATTAAGTGTGGTGTCCCACAAGGAACTGTCTTAGGTCCGCTGTTATTCAATATATATTTAAATGATATTTTCCAAATTAATTGTGTTGGCAAAATAACTAGTTTTGCAGATGATACTGCAATATTATATGAAGGCACTGACTGGTCTGATCTGAAAAATGTAATTGAAAATGATTTTATCAAAATTATTCGGTGATTTAACAGTAGAAAATTAAGCATTAACTACTCTAAAACACATTTTTTACCATTTGGATCTTACGCTAGACATCTGCCAAATTACACAAATTTCTCCTTCAATATCAATGATCAAAAAATGCAAATTAATAGAGTGCCCAACATAAAATACCTTGGAGTGGTTTTGGATTCTCATTTACGATGGGACATCCATGTCAATTATATTTTAAAGAAAGTTATATTTGTATCCTACAAAATTAAATACCTTGGGAATATATTGACAGAAAAATATCTTCGAACATTATACCAAGCACTGATTGAGCCTCATCTCACATATGGTATATTAGCATGGGGAGCTGCATGTTCCTCACATATCTATAATTTAGATGTTTTTCAAAAAAGTATTTTAAAAATGATATTTAAAAAACCGAAACTTTATCCCACTGAAAAATTATACGCAGATGTTCGAATGTATGATATACTACAGCTTTATTTCTTACACAGTATCACTCACTACCATAAATTTGTAAACACCGACCAAAAAATTAAACATACAATTATACCAGGTACAAAATTCGTGGCACAGTAGTTCCTCAACCGCATAAATCTATAATGCAGCGATCATATCTCTATTTAGCGCCTAAATTTTATGAAATTATACCTAAAGACTTAAAAGATTTACGTTTCGGAAATTGTTTCAAAAGAAATTTAAAAAAGTGGCTACATTCTATATCTAGGACTGAAATTCATAAACTCATAAATACGAACATCAACTAAATACATAATCTACTGTAGCTAATTTTTGTCCTTTTTTGTCATTTGCATTCTACAGTTTCAACTTAAATTTATTGGTCCATGTACAGGCGATGCCTTCTATTGGGCCTGTTTTGATTTTATATTTATTTACTCATATTGTTTGTTATCTTTGTACATTGAGTGAATAAATATTATTATTATTATTATAATGACGATCCCGCGCACGACTGTCCAATTCACAAAGAAAACAACAATATTTGGTATATCCCAGTTGCATTCCAAGAAGAAGGGCTATTACCTTTAAATCTGCACATATGGCCCAACCATAGTCGTTATAACGGATATGCTCTAACAGAACCCGCATATTTGCTGCACTGCGTGCGCTATAGGTACAGATATATACAGGTATATTTATTACCGTTGTGTACCAATACCGCTTTCAAACTAATCTAAGAGGAATCAATGGACATACGCCAATCATTTGGATCATGTTTCTGTCGTAACGCGTCAAACAAATTGTTGACATCGAAGCAATATATCAACTCCCTTTCTTGACGGAAACAGTGTGTGAGTTCTTGTTGCCGTTTTCGGTAAAAAGTAATGTTAACATCACCGTGGAGAAGATTCCATCCTTTTAATCTTGACGCTAAAAGTTCGGACTGGGATTTTGGCAGATTTAATTCTCGAACTAAATCATTACGTTCACCCTGTGTGATCCAACGCGGCGGTGTTGAACATCCTGGTAGGTCAACCGAAGGATCGGAAATTCTTACGCTTTGTGTACCATCACTTTCAGAATCGGTGGATTCGACTTTTTCATCGAAAGACCAAGATTCTGGTGGAACTGGGACAGAAAGTTCATCACAAAGCTAATGGTGAATTAAAATACACAACAGTATGATTCGATTTTGGTCCAATACCTTTAATATTCGTGAGGCAAAAAATAGTAATCAGTACTATGGTCTCTCGGTTCTCTCCAAACCATTGGTACCGCAAAGGGTATTTTACGATTGTCGCCTCGTAACCAACCTGTTAACAACGTTACACAAGTCTTACAACATATATGAGGGGTCCATGGTTTATCTTGGTCGACAACTGTAATTCCAAAATAAAGTTCGTATACTTTCAACACATGGGCAGTAAAAGTACGTGTTTGGGATTTAAAAGTTAGCTCTCCACACACGTAACAAAAACTGTTCACCCTATTTTTACACAAGCTAGTCTCGATCACAATAAACTAAAAACAACACACCGTTTTACCGAAAATCAACTGTACTCAGAACATCTCAGTATTCTGCAACACAGAAAACGTAACTGACTCGGCTGCTATTATTCTACTAATACACGCAATCTGCTCGCATATAATAAGCAGGAATAGTCACGTCTTAACATTATATATGTGCGTCATCGCATAAACGCCGAGAAATGCAGCAATATGAGATGTTACGTATTGTAATTCATAAAGGTAGATGTTACCGAATATGTGTGGGTCATAGAAAAAGTCTGTTTTTAGATTTGATTTAAGAGTCTCAAAATACATAAGATACACCCAAAAATTGTCATGTCACAAATCCTATGTTTGCCAATGTAATTAAATGGGCATCAGTGTCTCACAAAATTGCTTGAAGACATAAACAAAATTACAGAATGCTTATTATTTATTTAACAATTACATGACTTCCGTTCAAAAAACCCTGCTCCTTAAGCCAGCCCTGTTAACAGGGAGCTGTCGCGCCATCTACTGGTCAATAGCACGACTACTTCTAGCCTTGTCACCGCAGCAGGTACTAGTGACGCAAAGATTAAAC